TTGGGCCCGGCGAGAACGGACCCAATAAACTCTGCCGATGGACCAGGACGAGGACTGCTGAAAGGATTTGGGTGAGAGTCCAGAATTTCGGGAAATCCAGTTTATTCGTTCCATTCGCTTTATTTATTTTCGAGTTCCCGAGGGGCCCAACTGGACACAGGGCCCATTTGGGAGAGATCGGGCCCGGATTTCAGTAATTAACCGGGAGTCTTGAAGGGACATCCAGTTAACGCGGCTTTCCGAGATAATAGAGCGTATCCGACTGCCTCTGGGCCTTAGGGCCCGGAGTCGGACATCCTGGACGCTTTTGGACGTCCCTTTTGTCTCTCCCTCGTCAGTCGGGTCCCGAGACGGACGACTCCGGCCGTGGGACCCAAACTCCTCGGCCCTCTCTCTCTCTCTCTCTCTCTCTCTCTCTCTCTCTCTCTCTCTCTCTTTGGCTGGGACCTTCCCTCGCGAGGGCCTTACCTTAAATCACGGATATTTCGTGAAACGGGGGGCAGGGGGCCCGACTCACGCACACGTACTCGGAGAAACTACGAGGGGCAGTTCAACGCTAACGTTCCGATAAGATAGGGCCCCGGGATGCTGGGCTCGGACCATTTCGGCCGGGTCCTGACACTTTCGGACAGTCCCCACGTTTCCCCCCGAAAAACATCCGCCGGGAACGACCATTGGCTTCCCGAGGAACTTTTACGGGAAACGTTATCTACTCAGGTGAGAAACACTTGCTTTTACAGATTTACCTAAATCTCCAATAGACGTATCGGGATTGGGAATAATAGCGCTATTAACCTCCTTAAATTCTCAGGGAAAGAAAAATTGAAAAAAAAAAGAGAATTGCCAGAAATTTTTTTCCCTTCTTTATTTTGACACCTTTCCTTTTTTTTCCAGCGACGTGTAAATCTGTAGGTTGAGTCCCAACAATGGAGAATCCTTCTTTCGAGCCCACTCTCGCGTCCTGTTATTCTCGGTAATAACTCGTCGGAATAAGCGCAATTTTGCTCGAATTGCCGCGAGGGCGGCTGCCGGGAATTAGGCTGGATTAAGAGAGAAACGACGAGCAATCCGTCGAAGCGACTCCGGGCCCAATCAGCGACAAAAGTCAATTATCGGAGAGCCCGGACTTATAGCTTGTCGGATTGGCACTATCTGACGCGGTGACGCCGCCGTTAATTGAGCAATGGCCGCGGTTAAATAAACCGCTCTCCATAGCGACGCCGGGACGCTCAATACCGGCGTTCATTAGCGTTTCCCGTCGGTATTTACAGTGCGCGTGTATTTTTTCTTCCCCGGTGCATCTTGAAACTGCAAATAATCCCCAGCATCCTTAAAAGGAAAGGAATAAAAAGACAGAACCTAAGATTAAATATAATTGCAATAAATCCTATGAGGGTTTTTAGGGATAATCAATTAGCCTAAATGGGGTTCTATCCAAAAAGTTGAAGAGGTCGTCGCCAGGTTGGCTAGCGTTCGTTAACGCATTCCTTTAATGTCCTTCCGCAGGTATTTACTGCACTCTTCGTTGCAGTATTTACAGCATGCACTTCTTCGTCATTCGCGGTATCCCACGCCATTAAAAATGACGAGGAGGAGGATAGCTTTGAATGGATATACAATTTCCGGGAGATATTTCGAGATTTGGAATTTTTGGTCACTCCGAGAACGGCGCGGAGGGGCAGGGGAAGTGGAAGGTCGTCGCGACGCCTGGAGAGGTCTTCGAAGCGAGCGAGGCGAGCTTTCGGGACGGGAGACGATCGGCCGTGTAATTTAATTTAAGTTACGAGCCAGCCCGATAGCGGGCAAAGAGCCACAAATCAATTAGTGCGCCTCGTTCTTTTGGGGTGATAGTGATAGCGACGGTGCAGCGACGGCGCTGTAAACATCTTTACTGCGCGATAACCGTAGCCGCTGTCCTCGTCGCCAGTTCCTATTCACATGCGGCTTATCTCGCTACCATTTTGTACTCTAGATTATTTCGCCGCGGGTGCGACCGCGCTTTCCGCCGACCGGCGACGAAAGTCCATCGGCGACTTCGGTGCCGACTGGCGTCGAGGAAGGGCTCCCAAAAGTCGCGGCATTCCTGCTAAAATGAAAAATCAATATCCCAGGAAATGTAAGCCCGAATAAAGAATCCTAAGTAGAAATTTGCAACATTGTTTTCTGATTTAAGGGATGCGAAGGTGTCGGTGCGAGTTCCAGGGTGAGTTCCACTTTCTTCGGGCAGGCAAGGAAGGGCAGTTGGATCGGTGAAATACTGGCGGTAATCTGGCGTAAGTTAGCGGGGGTATCCCACGGAGAGGAGCCGGAGCGTCCGGCGGGGCATGATGCATCACCCACGTGGTGTGCCCGGTATATTAGTCACCGGGAATACCAACTGCCGGGCCAAATTGAGTCTTTGCCATAAAGTAAGCCATAAAGGGAAAGAAGGGGAAATGCGTCACGGGACAGGAGGGCGACCGGCTAAAAGAAAGAGAGCCGGACTGCTCGGGGGGCCCTCCCCCCGAGCGCGAGCGCGAAGACATTCAAATTTATGGTAATGCCTTCTTGCCCGGCGCGGGGTTATCAATATTGTTATTATGCTTATCGGCCGGGGGAGGAGTTTTCATAAACCGGGAGAAACCAATAAATAAACCCCCTCGCGGACGAACACCTACCGCGAGCCAACAACGCGCTCTCGCTCCGCCGCGGAGCGCACTTTAATCCGGTAATGCGTCAAGCCGGGGCCCAATCGATTTATAGGGAGTTAAACATATTTTATGAATGCCCCAACAAGCGCGTAACCTCTTACTCGCGTCCCAGGGTAAACTCCCGTTTGCACCTTCCCGCTTCCCCCATTCCGCCCCGACTTATCAATTTCGAATAACCCCCGGTATCGATGCACCTTCACTCGCGCCCGGAATTAAGGGACTCTCTATTCTAAACATCGGGATACACCCATCGTGACTGCATATTTAGTCGCACCCAAAATTAAGGAATTCTCTGTTATAAAAATCGAATTCAAGTACGATAGTTCCTCTCGAGTCTGGATGCACCTGGGGTGCAGGAAGCACCCCACGCACGCGTAACGGATGAAATAAGGGCGCTGTTTCGGGGCTTGGGAGAAGGTGGAGGAAGGGTTCTCCCGATCCTCCGAAAAGTTTCACTTCGGACTTGGAACGGGGCCTTGGGCCCGTGAGGGGAGTGGAAGGGTTATGACTTTATTGCAGCGAGCAGAGCCGCGGGATACTCGCCTCTCGACCCGCGCCCTTTGTCTTAGCGGATCGTTGCGGCCTCCGGGATATCCTTTCTTGCCCAATTTATAGTTGTTAGGGTTTAGGATCGGCAATATAATCCTGGCACTCGTGCAGGGGCTCCGTCGAAGTCACCGGGTCGAGGCGTCGAGAGTCTCGATATCTCGCGCGGTGTCGGGAAAAGTCGACGTCGTCGGGACCATTTTTCTCCTACTCCGAGGTGGAAGTCAGGGTCGATGGGAATGGCACTTTCGCGGTGGACTATCGGCCTCGTTTTAGTTAAAAGACGTTTCAGGAGGGCGATGGGAACACTGGCCATTCGGCTTCTGACTGCGACCCTCTACCATTAAGGGCTACCCATCATTACCGCGAATAAGGCCCCGTGGAAGCCGCTGCAATTGATTTTAACGCTGCGTGTAAAGCAACCTCGGAGGGCCAATAAAAGGAGCCGAGGGAACCCTCGCATGAGGACCCCTGATCTCCGCAAAGTACGAACTGCCGCCCCCAGAGCCACTGGGAATTTCCGTTTGATCGTCTTATTGCCCCCTTTCCCCCGTTTTATTTCCCCGCTTAGTTATTCCTCTCGCGGATTTTATGGAGTTCTCCGGGAATACATGCCACCGCCAAAGGCGCCTTCCTGCCATTGGTCGCTGCCGATGCCTCGGTATAATCGGGCCCCGGTTATAAGGGATGGTTAGGACTAAATTGTTCACAATTTAAGGTAGCCCGATCCGGGATGCTCATTTCTTTGGCCCCCTTTTTTTGCTTTAGAAATAATAGAGTGGGATGCTCGTTCCTTTATTTATTTGTCCGGACTCCCGGTTCTTACGGGGAAGCTGCAGGACGAATGAAATTCAGGGTCTCTCCTCCCGGCCGGGAGGGACTTCTTAATTATGCGAGGGTCATCGGACCTGGACGGTGAGATTGGGAAAATTCAACCGATGGAATTTACGGAGTCTCCCAGATTTACGGAATGTAAGGAGACCGGTCGTTTCTTTATCCAAATGATAATATTCATATTTCCATTGATTTATTCGGCCCCTCAGCGAGCGGGACTCCCGGTCAACCCGCAGGACGTCGAATGAAATTCAGGAACCCCGTTTTCGCCGGGGAAGGACCTCTGTCCTTAAATCTCTCCGGGTCCTCGGAACCGGCACGGCCGGAGAATTTACAGCAAGGCAGAGACGCCGTTGCAAAGAAGTTGCCGAATGTTGCAACCGGTCGCCGGTGGGATTTTATTTCCCCGATTGAATATGCAAATGACCGCCGAGAGGAATCAACGCCTATGGCCATTGTTCCTGACGGGCGAGCGGTTCCTCGTGTAATCCGACTATTCGCTGGCATTGTCATGGCGCGTTCAAAAAGCAGAGGTCCATCCTGGAATGTCAGGGCTCCGATGTCCTGCCCGATGTTTATGCATCTACGTGCGAGGACTGGCCGATTTTGAGTGGTCATTTTGCAATTCCTCGCCCCGGGGCGAGATCGATGCATCCAATGACCACATCGGCGGAATCCGATATTTCCCGTATTCCGAAAAATCCTCCCAAAAACGTCTCGTCCTTGTCACCCTATCCGAAGATATTCGAAGGGAGAGGACAGTGACATCCGACTCGGGTACAACGTAATAGTCTCCTTTTTAATATAATATGAATCCATAATGGTAGTAGACAATAATAATATAATAATAATAGCGATATCGATATTAATAATAATATAATAATAATAGATATATTTATCCATATTCACATTGATAACTATTTACAGGAAATTAATTTACAGTCGTGATTCCCGCGTGGATAACCAAACGGAGGGCCTAGGCACGCGCAGGGTATTGTCCCGTGCCATGTATATATATATATGTATATGTATATCGTGTAATGTGTATTCACAACAATTAGCACAGTGCAAGGATTGCAGTACGCTGTTTCGGGTACGGTTATCACTCCCTTCCCCTGTGACTCTCCCACCCCCTGCGCAGGCGCACTTCACCCTCGCAATGCGACGTATGTCGTATAATTATGTACATGTAATTATGAACATCGTGCAACATATGCGCGTGTCAACGAATGCACCGAGCACCGACCGTCTTAGTAAGAGTATACGTAGCGATACTTTTTTCCTCCCCTTTATATCACAGATATATATAAATAAATTGTATATCTCCGGTTAGTCCTTCCTTTTCCCTCCTCTAATTATCATTCCTCTTCCTCGTGCCGGTCTCTCTTTACAGGACAATGTACAATCTTCGATGACCCTTCGACCCGCCCGAGCTGCAAAATGGGGTGCGATTTCTTTCCGGACTCTTCAAGGATGCGCCGATGGAAGAGTTGAATTACTTGTCAGGAGTGGCTTAAAAAAATATTTTCAATAATTTTGAGGCTTTCCAGTAGCTCCTCCTAGCCCCTCCTTTTATTTCTCCCTCCCACGATAGACGAATTCCGTATAAAAAAATATCCAAAATTCGGGACTGCTAGATGAGGGGTGAATTCAGTTTCCAGGTGCAGCGTTTTCTCCGGGATATGCAAATTAAGATCCCAGAAGGCAAGAGGAAAGGACGCGTTTCGTCGTTTTCTCTTCTTCATTTTCCGACGTTCTTGATAGGAAAATCGCCCTCCGAAAGGGCTGATTGTGCAATGGAGCGATAACGGCGCGAGCGGTCTGCCGCGGAATTTATTTCGGGTAACCCGCGGCCCATTTGCGGCCCTGCGGAATTAAATCGTCGAAAAGCACGGCTGGCTCGTGCTGCATTCTGTAGCCGGGATGTGAAATTCGAAACGGGTCTCCTCCTATGCCGAACGAAGAGAGTGCCACGATCGCTCGAGGTCCGATCGATTCGCTCGCGAACTTAATCGTGTACGCGCCCTCGTGCCGCACGGCAACCTATATATACATATATAATCGATCGGGCTATTTATATCTATATATCTTCATTTGTATTTATATTTATGTATATATTTATATATATGCACGACGGGAGGAGCGAGGACCTCGAGACGCCCCGATCCCATCACCGACTTGAGATAACCCCAAATTGTAACCAAAGTAAATATTCTAAATATTTAAAAAAATGACCAATATTATTGAATCTTCTTTTCCAGTAATAGGGAGCGGTTGTAGCGATGATTTGGAAGATTCTAGGGGTTCTTATGATACTTTTAATCAACGATCTCTGGGGATCGGGCGGTCTCGAGGGGCTCAGCCTGCTGCGAGCGCATCCCATCTCGCGAGTCCTGATAAGGACGGCTCGGCGTACTTACGACTCTACGGCCTAAAATACGTTAATATTCATCCACTGCGATAATCAATCGGGTTAATCGTAATCGGTTACTCTAAAGTCGTAGCTCGTTATCCTAACAGGTAGGTAGGTAGGTTATGGGGCCGCGAGGAGGATGCGAGCCCCGCGTTGTCAGTGGGTCCTTGTCATAAGGTGCTTATCAGGGGCTCGCGCGTCCTCGGGCCTTCGCAGCTGCGAATCGCACGGTGCTATTTGCACATTGCCCGGTTTAGTTCTCTTCCTCCTGGGCTCGGTGTCCAACCGGAGTTCCCAGTCCTCGCTCTGGGAGCCAGCAGACCGGAGGAAGCGAAAAGGAGAAAGTGGCATACTCCCCTTCCTGATCCTGGAGGAGGTCCAGATCCAGGGACGCGAGGTTCCGGATTCCCGAGGACCCCGAAATCCCAGCCCAGATCCTCGGCAAGTTCTTCGGCTTTCCTAGCCTGGGCTACTCGCAGGGGACGTTTTCAGGGACTCCTGGACTCCCAAGGCCCTCGGGTCCTTCGGGATCTCCAGGACCTCCGGCAACCTTCGGAACTCTACCGCTCGATGCTGCCATCTCAGCATCCGTAGAATCTGGAACAGGAAATTGCAGAACTCCCGTCACAAGATGCTGCGTGGACAGATATGGTTCCCATGTTTTAAATGCGTATTTCTTGGGGTTTATATTCTTTTTTCAATTCTTTTCTTTTTCAAAGTACTTGTACGTGGCTTTATTGGTGGAGTTACATAATACGACCCGGCGTGACGTGGCGGGAACAATTATCGAAGTTTCGTGAAATTTCAATGAAATCGCGATTTAACGTGCTCGTCCCCTGCAGTTTTCCCGTAATAGCGCGGCTCACGGTGTTCGGGGATAAAGACTGGTCCGATTATGTATGTATATGCGAGCGCTGGGAACAGCATCAGGCTGCGTCGATGATTGCAGGGCAGCCTTAAACGGGATGCATGCAGGGCATTTCGCTGCAACACGCGTACGCAGCTTGTAAATCTCGGGCATGAAGGGCCGCGCGTGGTCGGATTTTTCTCGGGGCCTTGTCGCGAAATTCGGGGCCCGCCTTCAATTTCCGGGGAACGGTGCCCCCGAAATTAAATCTCTCCCCCTGAAGAAAAGAAATATCCAAAATTCCGGGAGGGGCTCCGACTTTTCGGCCACTCGATCGGGCAATCCCCGACGTAAATGGCGGATGATGGATTTGGGGAAAAAATCCCCGATGAATAATACACCGTTGGAAAATACGGGGCACTGTTTAGGGCGAGATTCCGCGCGGCGGAATAAATGTAAAAATTCTATCGGAATTCGATTGAGCGTTCGGCTCCCCTGGAGGGGAGGTCGAAGAGGAGACTGGTTCGATTATGTATGTATATGCGGCGGATGAGAAGACCATCGGCTATGATGATTGCAGGGCGGCCTTAAGGAGGCTGCCGAGAGCAAGGCCTGGAACACGCGTGCAAAGATCGTAAATCTCCGGCGTGAAGGACCGCGCGTGGTAGCCTTAAATCTCGGGGCTGGATCGATGGAAATCGACGCGATTAAATTCCTCGTTAATTTCGAGATAGACCCTCGCCCCCGTGTCCGTTTTCAAAATGCCCTTCCGAGTTCCACATACAAAATATATATATATGAAATACCATATTCCCCCCTCAATTAAACCTTAGCACATACGGAAATACCCCGAGAAGAGAAAAATGACATTTTTCAAAGAATAATTATTTGATTCAAATATACTGGGAAAAATAGAATCTTTTTTCTTTCTCAGAGTATGAACTACTATATTAAATAACAATCATTATTACCGATAATTGGAATTATTGATTAGGTTTCATGTTTGCCAGTACAGTGGGATAGTGATCGGGGTATGGAAGGGTAATTCGATGGTTTACGTGGGATCGGTGTAAGGCTGGATAAAAGTTTGTCTTTTTCCCCTATTATCGGTTTGCAGTGGAGACAATCCGGAGATCGAAGCCTAGTCCGATGGTTTATGCATGCGATCGACGTAACGATGGAGGGCCAGCCTTAAGGGGGCTGTCTAGAGGGAAAAAGTGCAGCGAAAGGGCGCGCTTAGCTCGTAAATCTCCGGCATGAAGGAGCGCGCGTGGTCGGCCGATTAATTTTTAAGGCCCGATTCTCACGTCGTTGGAAATCCACGGTTCGCCTTAATTTTCAATCGGTCGTGTCGCGAGACCCGTCGTTGGTTGAGAACGGCCGAGAACGGTGATTATCGTGGCGCGACACCGCCAATTACCGCGCGGCGACAACCGAACCAGTGCGAGCCAATGGGGACCGGTTTGAAGGACGACGCGGAAACACTTTGTCGCTAATATCGGCCTGTCTCTTTTTCTTCCCGCTTGTCGGGCCATAATCGCTTTTTCTCCGTCTTTCTCCTGCCCCCCGTGCGGTCGAGCGCGCGACACTAGTCGGACCTCCAGGGAATCCTACTAATGGCCATTTGTCCTCGTTCGAAGTCGCTCGCGCCGAAGCCGCGACTCGAATCCAGACGTCACCGGTAACACCTCCGCCTGTCACATTGGGGAGAAACGTCGATTTCCCGAGGAGAAGTCTCGCCAAATAAGCGACAAGCGTCGCTAAGTACAGAGAAAATGAGCAGGAGCCTGCCAAAGGATACCCCGAGCGCCGTCTCCGCCCTTCTCGCGAAAACGCGGTTTTCCACCGCACGAGTGATCGGGACGAGGAAACGCCTCCAGTAAAACTTGTTCCCCATGGTGGATGGAACAACTTTCGCAGGATTGGTTTTTTTCATCCGAGGGATCCTTCGTGCCGAAAATCGCATTTGTCCGGGCAGTCGTGCGGCGTTCGAATTAACGCGGCGGAATAAGGCGCGCCGAGGAGGCCCCAGCGTGCGGACTCATCGGTCTCGATGTACGCGATGGAACGCGAAAAAGTGGCCCAGGGACGCTGCAAAAGAAATATGCGGGCCGGCCAATTAATTAATTTTGCAGGCCTTCGATTCCGGATCGCCTGCCGATGCGGTCGGCGCGGCTCTTTCTCCTCTCCCCCCTTTTCCCTGTCATTCCCGTCGACGCGAACACGTTTTAATCTCCATTTTCAATCCGGGCCGACGCGTGTACCGAGGAGTAAGTACTTATTATCGCCGCCGATTCGCAATTACGCCGGCAGACGCGGGCGCGATGGACCGGTTTCTCGAAACGAACGGGAAACTTTGTCGCTAATGTCTTACGTCGCGCCGGCGCGGCCGCCATCTTGGTTCTGGCGTTCCCCCGAAGGCGCCGAAGAAAGAGCGTCTACCAAAGATTCAAATACCGCCACCCTGCTGAGAAATATTGTCTTAAGAACATGAAAAGGAATCCTTCGAACACAGTTTCTGGTAATTCAACCGAGGGTTTCACTTTCTTCGGTGCATCTTTCTCTGCACCGTCCCAGGCGGCATTCACGATGGCGGCCGGTTCGGCAGCCTATCTCGCCGATTAATTCGCGGCGTCTCGCCGATAACCCCCCGTACAACCTCTCCAGGTTCTCCCAGCGATCTCGATTTCAATATGGCGTATTGGGCACCCGATGGAGCGAGATATCGGCGGTAATCGAGCGCGATACCTGGCCATGGAATGGTACGGATACTCATCGATATCCGGCTGACCACGCCGGATCGATCGAAAACCAGAAACGGAGAAATCTAAATCTCTAAACCTATCCCAACGCTCTCAAAAATAGTCCCGACCGGTACGAACGAAATTCCAGGACCAAATCTACCTCCCAAGGATATTAAAATCAATGTTACATACTTCATCCCAAAGCAACCCATTACAAAGGGACATCTCGGCCTATTTCGATCTAAAAGATATGAGCCCGATTCATGGAATACTTTAATTAAAATTAAAATTAATCCTGATTTTTGTCTGACGCCGTTAAAAAGACGGTCGAAGAGAGGCTTCCCCGAGTTCCCCCGTTTCAGGAACGTCCGGGAACCGGAGGCCGGTTCCAAGAGCCGGGAACCGAGTTCGCGGAATCCTCGATCGGACGAAACGCGGATCCCGATCGAGGCGATCGGGGTATCTATAGGGAAGACGGCGGATCGATTCCCGAGTATCGATCCAGCTCGGCGTGTGGGTGATCTGCATGGCGAGGGTCGAAGCAGGGGGGGAGAAGGTTCCGGGGACTCGGAATATTCATCGGGACGAGATCCATGAATATGGCCGAACTGGTCGGCTATTTATTCGACGGCCGGCCGTAATATGGCGAAAGGTCGCACTCGTCGAGTCGCGGATCGATCGCGAGGAATATATTGGAAGCGATCCTCGGGCTCTGGCGGGGCTCTATTTTTTTTCCCTTTTTATTTTTCGCCCCCCTTTTTGGCCTTTCCCCCCTCGCTCCCCTCCGAATAGCGGGAATGCCACTTCGGGAACCAGGAACCTCCCAGCCCGATTGGCCGGCGCGAATTTCGCTCGTCGTTTCGCCAAATTTCACGGGGCGTCCCTTTTTGCCCGATTCCATCCATCAACCTGCGCGCAAAGAGCGATACGGTTGCGCTCACGGCCGCCAATTGCGATACGAGCTTTTCGGGTTTTAATCGGATTCAATCGACGCCCCGATCGGCCCCGCGGGAATCGAGACAAATGGAACGCCGCCCGGAAACGACGTCATTCGCCGGCGCGGCGGACGGCGGAAAATTCCCGGCACATGCGGATATCACCAGGTTTCCGCATTTGGTTCCGCTCGAGACCTCCGGATTCCCGGGTTAACGGAAAATTCGTGAAAGAGGGAAGGCTTCTGGGTAGGACTTTTTTAGAGGGGCCGAAAATTCCTGGTGGACGCGTCATCGGGGCCTTCGATGGCCTCCACTTTTTGGCGAGGCGGAAAGAAAAATAGAAATCCGAAACGGCGGGAATTTTTGGGTTATCGGGCCCTCGGTATCTCGGGGCGACTCAGGAATCCGACATCGGATGCACAAGGACAAAGGATAATGCCGAATTCTCCGGGGTCCTGGATCCCCAAAACGGGGCCTCCTCGCGGGCGATCGGCCGCGTCCGAAAAGGACCCGCCGATGTGGCAAGGGTCCTCCGGAACTCGGTGATCACGGCAGGATTTATCGAATTGGCACCTAACCGGGCCAGGGCCCAAAGGACGTCGGGAGATGAATGCCCAAAGGCGAGGAACGAGGTGTAAATATAGGAGGTGCGAGCCCAGCATCCCCGGCCCAGCTGGGATGCAACATTGTAACGGGCCCCTGTCCTTTCCCCCGTCAATAAAATATCATTGATGCAATTAACTCCCGCAACAGGCAACGGAATACATCGACTCGGCGCACGATTAATCAAGTTTGGCCTCCGAGATCAGTAGTGAGTACCGCGGTATCTCGGCTTTTCTGTGAACTTTTAATATCGAGGGTACCTCGATTTCAGGTATTTCGGGGGCCAGGTTGGCCTAGGGGACCTGGAACTCGAGCCGCGAGAGGCATCGAGGAGAGGAGAGGAGGATGAATTTCGAAGGGCGGAGAGCAAGGCGTAAATATCGTCGAAGGCGCGAGAGGGTTCGGGCCCAGCTGGGCCCGTCGAGATCGGAGCTCTTACCTTCCCCGTCCATAATGGCAATTAAATATCCCCAGGCTAATTGGCAATTACCACGGCGTCGAGGGTTACTTTTTCAGGCGGGCATGGTAGCCACTGCCTTCTGCCAGGTCGGGCCAATCTACCTGCCCGGCAGATCGGCCGGATGGCTGCGACGACGGAGACGGAGGGAGCGAGAGGGAGGACGGTCAGGTTTTCGGTACCGGTGTCGGGGTATAGGTATATGGGTGCCTAAGTGGTATTATAAGCGTTAGCCACGGACTAGACCGGAGAGGCGAACCCGAGGAGAGGCGGAGAGGGCAGGAGAGCCGAGGTGACGACAGCGAAAACTAGTTTATTTGGGACGCGGCTATAAATTAGGATCAGATCGCCACCAGATAAGGGCATCCTGCTAACACCCGGGCCCCGACGACGTCCCGACGCGCCCGCCGTCCTTAGATCCGTCCGGTGGCCGGCGGACCGCGGCTTTCCACCGTGGCCTTCGCTTGCCACGGGACCTAATCCGAACTCCTGGCTGGACGGAGGTCCTTCGCGGCCGAGTCGGGATGAGTTTCCTCGGGGCTCTTTAACGACCCGGTCCCTCGCCGGCGGGAGTGCCGACTTCCCTGGGGATCCTGCTAGGGTGGAGGGTACTTCCACGGGGTCATAGGTGAGTGGGGCCGGGATTTCGGGGGAAAGAGGCCGTAACCGAGACGCCCGCTGGGAAGGGAACGACGTCTGCGGTCCCAGAACCCGGGGAGCCGCGACGGAGCCCGCAAATGTACATCCCAACCCTCGGGACCTACTGCGGATCATCCCTGGTCCAGCTCGAAAACCGACGTCAAATCTGCCCCACCATCTCGAGTTAAGGACGATGCAAGGCCTTTTCGGCCTCCTCTTCGAGGTGCCTCGAGGGCGCCAGTCCGACAAGGCGTTTCCAGACTCGTGAAAGTCGCCGTCCACTGGTCGTCTGGGAGGTTTCGCGTCACCCGAACCTTGAGGACACCACCCAGTGGGACAATTCCCGTGACGTTCGGCGAAAAGAGAGCAGGAAAGCCGCGAGTGACCAGTCGGGCCCGTTAGTGGGACAGATCGAGCAGTACCCGAGTGCCGAGTAGTCGAGCGAGTGGAGGGCGCGAGTAGGTAGGAGAAAGAAAGGGCAGAGAAGAGAGAGGGACGTAGAAAAAGAAGCTAGAGGCCGGGGAGAGAGAGGGGGCCTCACAGGCCCAGGGGGCCAGGCAGAGGCCAGAGCGAGAGGGAGCGACCGACGGCGAGAACCCGCGGTGATTCCATTCACCGATTGAAATCTTCGTCCATTTGTCACTGTCAAGCAGGTGGCGATAGCCTCTCCCTCTCTCTCTCTCTCTCTCTCTCCCTCGTTCCCTCCCTGAGGACTGCCCACACGCTACTCAATACCCGGTGCCATTATTATTTCGACGCGGGACCCGACTAACGACCAGTCAACTCGCCGGATATTAATTCCTTATCGATTGTCCTAAGGTGTCCGAGTGAAACTCGGGCCCGCCGAGAGGAAACGAGAGGCCGATAGGGAGGGACCGGTACCGTGAGCTCTCCTGCAGAAGATCGCAGGGCCCCAGGCAAGATCGTGATCGGACAAGGCCGTACCGTTGCTCGGGATCGACTCGTTCTCCGGTATGCTTCGGATAACTTTTTCCCCCTCGCGGGATCGACACCGCAAGATCAGTTCGAGATCCCGGATCGACGCGATGCCGGGGCCTGGAGGGCCGACGAGGCCCAAGCCGAGCTGAAGCTGACGGGACTCTACCCGAACGCTACGCTAGAACCCATCTACGACCTAATCTAGACCAATGCGAAATGTCCCCGTCCAGATCCCCTTAATCTAGGGCAACGACGTCTCGCGTGTACCCGATTGTCCTGGAGAAACCAGTGGGATGGACTTTCTGGTCCATCCAAGACGTCGCGGTAAAAGTACGAGAGCAAGGAGCGGGGCAGAAGCGACAGTGGGGAAAACTGGTCGAAAGGTAGGCGACAACTTTCTCCGGTGTCGGACTCATCGCCGGAGAACTGGCGCGATGTCCTCGAGTCCCCGTTATCGGGTGTCTCTGGCACCTACTTATCGTAATCAGAAAAGGGAACTAACCTTTCGAGTAAGGGCGATTCCCCGTGGGACCCTGGACCCCGTCTTAAACCGGCGACACGAAGCCACTGCTCATCGTCTGGGACCTGCAACAGATTGGACAACGTCAGAATTACGGCCCTTCGGGGTGCAGGATGGCCTCTAAGAGGAGGGGCCAACAGGGAAGATCCGAGTACCCTGGGATGCACTCCATGAAACCCTGGAAGACGCCGTGAACCTACCCTTTGTAGAAGGGTTTGAACGCCGTGGTGGCCTCCGTGGGCGGCAGGTTGGCAGTGGTCTGCTGATGGCCGATGGAGTTCTGCGGGACGGGGGAGAAGTCCTTATGGGGCGAGTTCTGGAGCCTGGAGGAGAAGCCGTTGCTGGCGGAGCCGGCGCTGGAGGAGAGATAGCCGCCGTTGTGGTTGCCGGAGGCATAGTGCGCGGAGCCGTTATTGGTGGCGTTGCTGCCACCAGGGATATACGCCCCAGGAGGAGCCTGGATCACCCCGTTGGGGGTGGCCACCTTCATGTTCGGCGGGGTTTGCGGCGGCGTATCCGTCCCAACCTCTGGAAACCCCGCCGCCGCCGAGGAGGCATTGGACGAGGATCCGGACGAGTTGGGATTGTAGTGTAGCTGTCCACCGGAGGACGACGACAGGAAGCCTCCGTACCTGGTGGCCGCGCTGGAGTAGGGAGCGGTGGCCCCCGAGGACGGACTCATGGACGCGGAAGATGGCAGGGCGAAGGACCCCAGGCTACCACCACCGGAACCTAGCCAGGGCTGCTGCGAGTGGTGGTGGCCCTGGCTCCCCAGGTGATGCTGCTGCTGACCGTAGTGCTGATGGTGAGGGTACTGCTGATGATGGGGATGACTCGGCGGAGGCGGCGTCTTGCAGGCTGCGGTGTCCGCCAGGGACCAGATCTTCGGCTTGGTGGCCGGGATGGGCACCCCACCGGCGCTGCAATCCGACTTGATGGCCTCGTCTTTGAGGTGGTCCTCGGCTCCGTAACCCTGGTGGTGGTGATGCTGCATCGAGTGGTGGAACGGGTGCTCGCCCCGCCGTGGGTCCTCCTCGAGGTCGAGGTCGTCCTCGTCCTCCAGGTCCTTCTCGTGCTGCAGATGCTCCGCCTTGACGTGCCTCATCGGCTCTGCGAACAGGAGACGAGAGACGCTGCGGTTAGATGTCACCGGTTAGGACGGGTTTCGGGCTTATGGGTTTTGGGTTTCGCCGCCACGCGGCCGCGGCGCGTCCATGGCGGCCGAGTCCGGTGTTTTCGGGAACTCACTTCGCGGCCACTCCTGCCGGGGCCCCGAACCTCGGCCGGCGACCACTCCCTGCGGCCTCCAGGCTGCGTGGCCCTAGGGAGTCGCGACTCCCCGAGGTGAAGCCACCGCTCGAGACCGTCTCGAGCCCTGCGCGTCGACGCAGATTCGATACGTGTCGGACGGTCCACGAAGAGAGCAGCCCTTCCCGACGCGTCGAGGGTGGCTCGTCCGGCTCTTCGGCAATATTGCCGTTAATGGTTTATAGTCCCTGGTGTGAAAGTGAGACGCAAGGACGCGTGTCATCGTGGGGTTCCAGGGAGAGAGGCGGAGATCCCTTGCGAGGTGGCTGGAGAGAGAGGGCCTCCCCGTCCGCCCTTATACAGTTAAGCTGTAAGGGATGCTGTGAAAAAAGGGAGCGAAGCCTGCAACCACTTTGGGGCGCGAGAGATTTCATCCTACCCTCGGGTGGTGAATCCTCCCTCTCCGGTTCCTCCTCGCCCTGCTCTTCACCCCGTCTCGCCCCCACCCCGAGAACCGCGTCGCTCCCTCTCGCTTCTCTCTTGGGGCACTCCGCGAGCCGACAGGGCCGTCTGCCGCACAGCCATCCAGCCATTCAGTCAGGGGCGAGAATTTCATTAAGAGGTTCGAATGAGTCGGCAAGAGGGTTTACTTGATGGCTCGTCAAGCGATAATTCCCAGGCCGGATAGGGACCCTAGCCACGGAGAGTTTAGGTTTAGGGCGGCACGCGCACCCCCTTATAAAGGGAGCCTTATGGCCCAACCAAACAGATACTGCCGCCGAGTCCACAAGTGGCTCTTTAACTTCTGACCCTCTTTCATCGGGCGTTAATCGCGTAATCTGCGCTGGCCGCCCGCGGAACCGTCCCAGGATCTCGGCTCCGGACGACACCTGCACCCTCCTCCAGGTACGGGCTCGTTGTTCCCAAGATCCTGTTATTAATATTCCTGGAACCGCTGATCTTCGCATTCCGAGTCTAACGAGTAAGATCACCCTTCCGGTACGTAACCACGCCTTCCATTTCCACGTACGTTTCCACGCAAGATCCCAGAATTCCACGCGAGGTCGCAGTATCGAAACGAGTGGTCGTTTATCGGGGCTTGGAACCCTTTCCGGGGACGCGTTTACGCGCGGCGGGCACTTACGTATCCGTTAACCTAAACCCGCGTATATCCGAGTAACGAACCGATATTGGCCAATGTGCGGCGCGGTAATGGTGGCCATAGGAGGGTCCGTACCATTCGTCTCGCCGCGGGCGCCGATACATCACCGTACCTCGAACAGTGCCGCATCTATATACGCACACACCGAAGGGGGTTGCCGAGGTCGTGTGGTCCTGGACGCGGCGTGGTGGGTGCTGGCCACGTCCGTGGACCCGCACACCTACATGGACCCCGTGCCACACGGAGAGTACATGGGCTCTGCGGATGGCTACTCGGCCCGGCCGCACCCTCCTCTGCCCATCCCGGGTACACCCATGCCGGATACCCACAGCGTGCGGCGGACCATCGTCCACCACCGGGGGACCCAACCCAGGGACCATTAATCTCCGAGCGCGCGCCAACCCGCAACCCGTCACTGTGTTTACCCACATGTGAACCATTATGTCCGCCTCTGCGATAGCTGCGAGGATTCGCGGGAATCTCGCCTACCTTTGGACTCCTAGGTGGAATCAAGTGGGAACTAGGGTGGATGCGCGAGAAAGGTTGAGGGCCATGGATGGTGGTATTTTGGGAAGGGGACTTCTGAGGTCAGTTTCTACGATCAGGGTGTGATGGTTTGATGCGTTCGACCGTTTCCTGGTTCGGGTGGCAAGGGCGGTGTGGGGACGCGAGGCGGGATCCTTTTGGAGGTCGATCTTGCGGGATGGAGAGGAGGTCTCGAGGTTTAGTTCCGGCTAGATCGCGATAAAACGCCTGGCCCAATATCTCGGGGAGAAAAATGCCCGGTGACCACTCCGGTCCACCGCCTAGGGACCATCAATCTCTGGGCGCGCGCCAGCCCGCAACCCGTCACTCCGTTTACCCACACGTGGACCATTATGTCCGCCTCCGCGATAGCCCTCGGACTCACGGGGGAGTTCCTAGTGACTGAGTGGCTAGGGTTCGATTTTCGAGGAGTCGACACTTCGTAGAGTCCCCTCGTTGAGCCTGCCTCCCGCCTCGCGTGGGCATTCACGTCGGACCGCGAATTCGACAATTCTTGATCATTTTCATAATTTTCATAATTTTCATTTTGATAAGTTTCCCTATTTTGACGCGTCTCCTTACCGTTGTCGTCGAGTCCTCTCCTGGCCTCGTCGCCGACCCTCTCGGTCCGGTTGTCGGAGCTCAGATCGTCCTTGTCCTTGTTGTCCTCGGAGTCCGTCAGGACCGCGTCGTCGTCGTCGTCGGTCTTATTCTTCGGCTCCCACGTCATCTTGTTCTCCTTCTTCAGCCTCCGCCTCGCGTTGGCGAACCAGGTGGACACCTGAGTCAGCGTCATCTTGGTGATGATCGCCAGCATGATCTTCTCGCCCTTCGTGGGGTAGGGGTTCTTCTTGTGCTCGTTCAGCCACGCCTTCAGGGTGGCCGTCGACTCCCTCGTCGCGTTTTTCCTCCGGGCCGCGAGGTCGTAGCCGGCCCCGTACCTACAATTAATCATGGTATCGTCATCATCACCACCACCGAGAATCCAGGAAACCATAAAACGGTCCTGACCATACCGTCAAAAAAATTGGCCTTAAATATTCAACTCTACTCTTTACTACGCTGAGAAAAAGAAATGTCATTTAATCAAAGAAATATTTCGTCAATTCAAAGAATAATTCTTTGACGCGAATAAATTCCGATAAATTGGAGGAAACATTTCTTCAGAATTGCGACGCGATTTAAACCCTGAGTAAGTAGATTTAGTCAAAGGGGCGAATTTCTCGATTATTTCTGCGACTCCCTAAATTCGACAGGCTTTCGGGGGTCACCCCTTTCCGGGTCGGCCCCACCCACAATTCCACCCACTCGGTCGGCGCAGTCGCGGCTTCCTAAAACCTGGCATCCCTTCTCCTGGCGTCGTACAACACCCTCCTGGTGACATCCTACTAGGGCGAGGGTGATACGGCAAATATATACAGGGGAATAAAGCCCCCAGCGGCGGCGTGATTCCATCCAGGCTGCACTCACTCGCCGTAATGGCGATCCGATCGATCCCTCCTGAGTGTATTATATACCTACTCGGGGCGAAAAAAAATACCTACCGTCGATCCATTGCCCAGGGGGGTCTCGCGCAAAGTATCCCCCGACTTTTTCCGCGGGAGACCAGACTTTCCTGGGAGGGAAAAAGAGAAGGCGGATTCCGCCGGGGCGAGTTGGCCCCCGGACAATTTCCGATCCCCCGGGGGGCGCACTTGGGAAACTAACGGCTTCATTCGATATACACCGCTCCGGAATAAATTATCATATATACATGATATTAAATTTCGAGGGCCTATATTAACCCGTAAAAAAGGGGGAAATTAAATTCCGGTCTCCGTTTTCGAAAGCTCCCGCCGATCTCTCGGCTTCGGACGGACGGACGCTTTTCACGGCAATTTTGTCTATTGCGTTAGAAAATTAAGTGAAGTCTCTCGGAATTTCGAGTTTTCCTGGTTTTCCCTCGGTGGTGAAATTACTGTATCGCGTATTCTGGGGTGTTACGGTGACGGTTGGTCGGTATATCGACTTCAGGGTCCATCTGGGAGATGGGTAGTGTTGCTAGACGGGATGGAAAGATCTCAATTTCCGGGATGCCCCCGCCGACAATGGATTCTCGAAAACCGGAAGGGTCGGGGGTAGGGGGATGAAATCGTTCGGAAAATCGAGTCCCGGTTGTCGGGAATCGAGTTAACTCGCGGGAACGATTGCGATTAAGTTTAGGCAACTTTCACCCCGGGGCGGAACGCCGACGAGAAAGTCCCGGATTCCTGCTGATGACTGCCTGGAATAAGCGAGGAGGGGGCCGCGGGGAGGGCGAAAAAAGGAGAGGAAGAGAAACCGAGGCGGAAGATGGGAGTCGAGAAGAAGGCGGTTTCACCCTCTATTAAACCCCCTTAGACAAGGGAAAGGCGGCCGCTCTAGGCTCCCGTCTTCCTTCGCCAATAAAAGCGCGCGGAATACCCTCGGCAAAAAAGAGCCGGGCCTCGAGAGCACGCCGAGCAAGGGAATTGATTGCCGCCATTGTGTTTCACCATGAGAATTACCCGCAAGAACCCCATAAAGAATGTCCTGCCCCGCGGAGGCGAGACCGGCCGTCCTTTGAACGCGGACGCGCCGGTTAATAATGCATATCTCTCCGGATCCTCATTCATTGACATCGACTTTTTACCCCCAGACAAAAGCCGAACCTCATCTGCAAGATTTCATGGAGGACCTTCGGGGAAAAATTGCAAGAATTATTTTCCAGGTAATTTCGGAATAACGAGTGAACCCGAGTCGAAAATTCTGCCCTTCTCTAAGTCTGCGTTCAAGTATGATTTCTTTTGGTCCTGTTTCACTTTTTAAAGTCCTCTTCCTTTCTACCTTTTACGTCCTATTTTACTCGAGAAAACGCTATTTTAGGCAAAGAAGTAGAGGAAATTGAGATATCTGCCATTTTTAAGATCAAAAGCAGGAACTCAGAAATACCAAAGTATCTCGTTTTTATATTCAGTTAAGACCAATTGAAGGTCCTGTAGGATAATCTCTCTCTTGGACACGCATCTAGGAAGCTTCAGTTAATCGGAGATTTCCTCTGGAGGTGACAAGTCCCTCAGGGACCGATGCCGAAGACTCGTTCCCGCCCTTCCTGGTCGGGCGCAATGACGTCTTCGGTTCACCCGAGGGACAACTCCGGTGTGCAATTTTCGCTGCAACATTGCAGCACGTAATGCGGGTCGGTTTGATTTTTCCTTTCCTGGTTATAAACCGCCTGGCGGATCGCACGGTCCTCCGCACCGCATTCCCCGGACGAGGCCGCAAATTTTACAACGAACGGCTGTAAAACGGAGTCTCCCTCCCGGGGGTGCAACAATTCTCGCAATGCCCCGGCACCGGGTGCAATAACGTCGGTGGCCCATCCTCGGAGAAACCCGATTTGCATAACCGACGTTGCGTGCCGACTGCGGAATCGAGGCGATTATTGCACCGCGTTCGCGGTGCCGGTGCGCGTTCTTCGGGGCCCTCTTCCTCTTGGAGAACGCGTGCCCCGATGCCGATCGCCAGCGGGACCTCTTCAAGGGGATTTCGATTTAATTCCATTTTATTCCCCCCGAGTTACCGGTTCCGCCGGTCGGAGGAACCGCACGAAACCCAACGATCCGTGGAAATAAGCCGGACGAAAACCGAAGGCGCGTGGAAGCCCGATCAAGATGGACCCTGAAGAGTCCCAAAGAGTACCCGGCCTCTCTCGGAACACCTCAAAACTCCCCTCAAGAATGAAACGTCTCTCAAAACCGTGAATTCGAGTCCCACCCTGAAAAGCACCTCGAGCCGATATGCGGCCCACGTTCCGCAATAGTTGCCCGTTGCGGAATGTCATAATCGGCCGGAAACGCGTGGCATGACGGGAAGGGATATGTTAGACACTGCAATAACGATAGGGCAGAGCTGGCCGGCGATACCAGCGGCCTCTTCAGCGACTCATTACGGGCTTTGCATATGGCGGCGTCAACCTCGAAAGGTTAACCAATATTGGCAGAACGCGCGTAATTACGTCCCCGTAGCTTCAATAGTTACGCCCGCCCGGACGTGCAAACATATCCACCTACGGCATCGTGTGCACATGCACCGTGCTGCACCCGCCCTCGCCGATGCACACGTCGGTGCATCTCCTATCTGCATCCTACATTGCATCGCGAGCGCTCATTTCGCGAGGAAACCGCGTGCCCGGTATTGCGCCACGCCGATGCATCTCCGTGGTAATTTTCGGCGGGTCTGACTGGGATTTCCGGGTAATTCCTGTGAATGCACCGTGAAAACGCTCCGGGATGCGCTTTATCTGGATTTCACGGGCGAAACGCACCCTGGATTCCCGGGGTCGAGTTTTCTGTCGCGGTCGAAGGATAAATCGCGTCTTTCCACTGCCTTTCTCCGTAAAAGAAAAAAAGTTCCGAAATGGGAGAAATATTTATCATTCGCGAGTCTTTCTACGAGGTGCATCGCGAGGAGCGACGCGTGGAAGCCGCGTGCAATATCCACCCAGCGAATGAAGAGATGTCGGAGGTAATTACACGAGGCTGTGGTGATTAATCTCCGGGGTAATAAGTTCAATTTGGATACCTCGGAGTGTTCACAGAGATCGACGTGGATGGATTTGAGAGATGTCGAGGGAATCGGTCTCGATGCACCGAGCTGGGTGCATCAAGGAGGCGTCTTTGGGATCTTCGAGGAGGCCGAGGACGGGGCAGGAAAATGGTACCTGACGAGATTACTGGAGGAAAGGGGGTGGACAAACTTTCGAGGATCCGATGGAGGGTGGTTTAGGCAGTCAAAGTCCCGAGAGTCAAGGTGGCGGAAACGGCGAGGATCGGTGGAAGCCTGGACTTTGCGGGGAGTCAGGACGAGGGTCCTTCTCGGAGATTTGATTCGAAGCCGAGGACCAGCACTGGAAGGGGGGTTGAAAACCGAGGCAGGGTTTGAAGAGGACACGGGGAAAGTGAAAAGGAAAACGAGAGGGTGCCATTCCCTCGTCGCGAGGGGTGGCCGGGAGCAAATCGAGGGGTTTTCCTGGAGGAATGGCGGCCCAGCTTTACAGGATCCCCAACTGCATCCACGAACCGTCTGCAGAGACACCGAAAGCTCCCGAAAATTTATCCCACCCCCAATCCTGGTGGATGGCGGGATAAAAGGGGTTGCCCCCAAAATAGCCACCCCCGCACCCAGCTCGTGACATCTTCCACCCGTCATCTCATCCCAAAAATCAGGTCCCTGTCTGGAGTCCAAGAAAAAGCGCAAACCGAAATCCACCCTCCCATTTAATCCTCCCTCTTGCTGAAAATAAAAATTCACCCTTCGGTCCCGAATTCCATTGCCCCGGATCCAAGAGGTGGACGGTCCGGGGAACAATGGCGGAAGAGCTCGTCACTCCAGGGGTGCGACCTGGCAGGGGTGTCGGGTCCTCCGCGGGACGGTCGGTCGTATTATTAAGCAAGTAAATTAATAGCGGCTCGTAAAGGCCGGGGTTCGGGACATAAGGGGTGAGTCGGAAGGGTGGACTCCATAATAAACAATGCCTATGGGGTGGCGTAGGCGTAGGTGTGCGCGGCCGGGCGCTGGAGGCCCGAGGGAGGCTCGAGGGAGGCGCGGGGTGAGGAAGAGAGAGAACACCACCCTCCACCCGGCCGGGGCGCGGGGGCGAGAGAGAGAGGGAGAGAGAGAGAGGGAGGGGGGCCGAAGCGTAGGAACGTGCAGACACACGAGGGTTGCTAAGCAAAGCAAGTAAAGCACCTGTGGGAGCCGGCTCGTGGGGCGGCGGTCGGAGGTGGTCGTAGGTGGCCGGAGGTGGGTACACCCGAGGGTAGGTAGGGAGCAGAGAGTAGAGAGTAGCAGAGGGCTGGCGAGGCAAACCCCGGGAGGAAGCCAATCAATAAACTCACTCGCTCTCCTATAGAGAGGGAGCGGGAGCGAGATGGAGAGAGATAAAGAGAGGGAGCGAGCGACGGGGAGCGAGGTGCAGGGGTGGGGACCTACTCTTGCACTCGTATTGCCTACCAACCTAGGACCGAACGGGCGAAGCCTCCATTATGTACGCCCACTCGGGTCTCAACTGCCTACAGCCATTTTGTACGTCGTCCTGTTGTCCGGGTTCATCCCTGATTCGACAAGACTCGGCCGGACGTCGCCTCGGGATCGCCGGGAACTCGGGCCCCGCAGGGGCGGAGGGAGGCGGCGAGGATAGAAGACGCCGACGGCGGCGTCTCCGGCCCCGTCGCGGTTGGCGCTTGGATACAGGCTTTTTGCGGTTAGCTCAAGGAGAAATCATCCGCCGTGGTCCCTGTGTGGGACCCGACCGGGAAAGTGATGCCGCGTGAGGGAATATGGCCGCCCGACGGGGCGAGGCGAGGCTCGGATTCCCTTTCCGGTCTTGGTCGAGACGATTCCGGTCTTGCATTGGACGTCCAGGGTGTTGGTCGGAGGTCCGTTCGTCAGGGGTTGGTGCAATTGGATGGGACCAGGTTGCGGGGTTCCGGCAAGGGTAGGGCTCCAGAAGTTGGGTAAGCCCTCGATGGGGCGGAAGGAAAACCCGGGGGGGAAGGATATCCTTCGATTTGGCATGGAAAATCATATTGCCGCACTTGAAGCGATATCGGGGAGGACTGCCATCGGACAAGATCGATCGGCCGGATAAGGCGAATCCCGTTACCGGAATTCGAGTCCCACGGGGAACCCTCGGATACGGGCCGCCGAGCTTGGAGCAACCAGGTCCTGGGAATCCTGAGGAAGATTTCGGGAACCTGAGAAGTTCCCGAAGCTGTGGATAATTATTTAATAGGAATAGGGTCTGATGGAGTCATTTGAAGACGGCTGGGGGAGGATCCATCAATTATTTCTTCATAATTGAGGAAGGGGTGCAAGGGGGCCTCTGGCTCACCCCTAGGGGTGCTGATATCAGAGAAAGTAAGACCGTGCATGAGCAACGCCACATCCACGTCCACTGGGGTGGATACACCCCATGGATGGGTCGTCGACCACCCCATCGAGCCGACCCTCGGGGTGCGGCGAGCTGCAGCGATCGTGATTTCAATTTAACCCCTTTATCCGACCCAGGACCACCGCTTACACCTTTAACCTTCCCTGATAAGAGCGGGGAGCATAAATCCAACGGAAGTCCCAGGGACGTCCGATAACGTCCACATAGCCGAGTCGGGCCCGGCGATCGCCAGGGCCGTCGGCCGATTATCCGGCTTTCTCGGCGCGATTCCGAGGAATTGTTCGTCGGTGCAGGCGGTAGATACACTCGGAAAGAGACAGAGAGGGTGCAAATGACGTACCCATAGGCGGCGAGCGTAGGATCGTAGGGGTAGTACCCGGTGGCGGCTGGTTGGAGAGCGGCGGTGCCCCAGGCTGCGCCCATGTCCGCCGTCATTCCCATTCCCGTCGCGTCCTTAAGTCCGTAAGGGTTTCCCTGAAAGCAGAATCCAGAATTGGCGGCGTCCCTGAGAGTCGGATCAATCTTGCGGTGCGAAATCGCTCCCCAGGCTCACTGGACACCGAACGGCCATCCGGGGTACCAGCAGCGTGCCATCCCTGAGTAAACTAAAATTATCCCTCCCAAAGGTGCGCACTTATCGCCCGCTTGCTTCAACCTATCTCCTCGACTACCTTCAAGGATCCCGTAATTAATTCCCCGATGCTTAAATCCCATTTTATCGAACACCGAAGCTGGAATACGAAGAGCGGCGCCCCACGCCAGGGGCTACCGCGGACCACCTTCGGCGGCGCCGCGGCGACAAAGCTCGGGCCACGGCAGCGAGGGGAGATTCGTTCTAATCCGGCAGGCGTCGTTCCGCCGCGGCATAAACGCGTGGCGGCAGTCGCGGCGTGGAGCATTAGGTGGCTAATGGTAGCACAATGGGATATTATTAGGGGCCGGGGCTTAGAAAGGCCGATGCCGCCGCCGCCGCTTGGCGCCGGGGAGTTTCGTGTTTCACGTCTCGTCGTCACGGTCGTCGCGGCAGTCGTCGTGGCCCGGGCCCGGTTTTTCATTCGTAATTCCATCAGCAGTCCCAAGATCGAGCGTGCCGGACCCGACCACGTCCACCCATCGGGCGTTTCTCCCTCCGGTCGTCCGGTTCCTGGTGGGACTCTACGGGGTCTTTAAAGGAACGGTTCCTCCGAGGGCCTTTATGGCAGTCCGCGGGTGGTCCGCACCGGTCAACCATTGTTACCGCTCCCCGAGTGGTGCCCCGTGCTCTGACCTCTGCGCCGATCGTGCTCCACTTCCATTAAAGCGCGCACTTTTCCGCCTTTCATCGGCCTCCCTGGTTCCGATCTCGATGGGGATAAAGCGGCCAGAAGACGCGGAATGGCGACCGATAGCCCCGGAAATATGAGAAAAATTTGCGAGGGAGATTCGCGCCCATTTCCGTCGAGCACCTGGGTGGGGGTCGACGTTTCAATCTCGCCGCTCTACCGGGAAGCTGGCCAATCGAGGACCTCCCGGGAGTCCGATGGACCACTTCCCAAAGGCCGACACGCCGTGCCAGCGAATCTAATAATTTAATTAACGACTAAGGGTGCCCCATGGCTCGATCGAATTCGCCCCAGGTAGAGGCTCGAGTAACCGGGAACCGTCGCGAGATGTCGTCGAGCTCGCCGTAGACTCGCGGAGGAGGGACGAGAGAGGGTGTACCACTTGCCACGAGATGAAAGAGAAAGAGAGAGAGGGACCCGGGAAAAAGAGCCGGCGCCCGGGGTGGGGGACCTCGGAGAGGTATTACTTTTTTAAGAGGTCCGAGACCACCGTGCACGCCGTAAGGACTTCTTACTGGCCTTATTGCCCCCCCCGCGCCATTTCATTCAATGCTAATCCGATTCTTATTATATTATAATGCTCGTTCCCCGCGCCGGTACCCGCTACAGGGTGAGCCACGGTCAATGCAGAAACGTCAAGAACACGTGCCGTGGAGGACCCCGGCGGTGCCGCCGCCACGCGCGCCACGGATGAACCACGGCAATTTCGTTTTCCTACAAACTTCCCACAAAAATTCGCACCTTTTGTCGACAATTTTAGCGCTACGTTTTAATTAAGTCCAGGGTATGGTCTATGCGAATTCGCACGAACCTCGTAAAAATTTCGAAAATGTTAGTGGAGGCCTATGGAAATTCGAAGTTACGCAGATTTTTTTCTAGATTTTGTCGGAAATTCTGAGAATGCGGGATGCATGGGTATTGGAGTATGCTGCATCCAGGCCGATTATCGGAGAATGGATTGTACGTGAAATGTCGCGCCGTTAATTGAACGGTTGGGGCACGGTATGAGCAATGGACCACCCAGCATGGCCATTTCAATTCCAACCGAGCCGAGAGGTGGCGGTCGTCCGATCGAAGTGGTCGTTCACTCTGGTCTACTTGCTCGGTACCGATTTCTTGTGTGCCTAATTACGTAAGATGCGAGCCGACGCACGGTGCAGGTTATGCGACAGCGTCAGAGGACTGACAGGAAAGCGGAGATGGCAAGATCGGCGAAACCGAGAAGCTGCGTCGTCATGGCTCGGCCATTTGTAAGACCCGATAGGAGGCGCCGACTGGCCAGGGGTTTTCGACCCAGGAAATCACAGATATGACTATCAAATATGAATGATCGTCGGGTAGGAATTTTTTATTAAATTAAATTACGCGAATAGGAAGTTCAATAAAATAATGACTGCACCTGGCTAGCAAGAAATATCCCGGCTGGATCAAGAAAAACAACCTGACGTAAAATGGAGGTGGACCAGAGAATTAGAAAATGGAGGGTCCAGAGCAAGGTGTAGTTCGGGAAGAGCGGCGTCGGAAATTTTTCGCTACGAGGGACGGAGGCCGCGAAGAGGGACGAAGTTCCCTTTTCGCTCTAGCCCTATTTCACTCTCGTCTGGTTTCCACAGGCGGCAGTTATCCCGAGACTCCCTCTCGGTCCTCTTCGGAGAGACCCTTCGGAATCGGAATCCGTTACAGCGACACGTCGCCTCGAAATAAGACAAATCCGTTCGGTTGACGAGAGGCCCCCTCTCCCGGCTCCATCCCGTTCCCGACCTCTCCCGTGGCACTCCGTTTCCCGGATCCGCGTTCTATCGATTCCGCAAACTCGTTCGCATCCTGCGAGGCCGTGGAAAAAAGAACCCCTTCCGTAGGGTGACGAGACGAGGACCTCGCGGAATCGCCGCTGGTTTTTCAGATTGCCGTACACGACCGCCACGTTCGAGACCGATTTAATTTTTAATGAACGTTCAATTGTTGCTAGGGAAAATTTAGAAATTTTAACGGCCCCTAAGACAGGACAGGAAGCCGAATTTATTTTAAGAAGGAACCTGGCACGAATATTAAATTCCCCTGATCCCGAATTCCCAGATTTTAATAATCGAAATATTGGATACGAGGCAAGTCTGATCTGACCCTGTTGGAAAATGCGACCACTCGCATTTTGAACACGTAATTATAATTGTCCGTGGGGTATAAAATATTCTTCGACGCAGAAATTTCCAAATATATATGTCCACGAATCCGAGCAGCCGCGGCGAAGAAAGAACGAAGAGGATCCGCCGTTCGCGCCTAGCTCCTGCCACGGAGGCAAGATAAATTGAACGGCAGAGTGCCGCCTAAAAGCACCCGATGAGCATAATTACGGCAATAAATTAACATTTAATTGGGACCCTCGGCGAGGAGGGAAGGTGAAAACGCGTTCCCAAGATCGCCGCCTTCTCGGGCTCCCAGGTTCGTTCCTGGAGAGGATAGCGAGAGACGAGGCGCGATCGCGCCTCTTCGGTTATCAATTAACGCCCTGATAAAAACCGGCATAACCTTGCTCGATCCCGGGTGAATTAACATCCGGCAGATGGAAAAGCGTTCCTGGTGCGTCGATTTGTCCGGGTAATGACATCGCTCCAATTATGCCGAGCGATCCCCTCGCGCTCTCACGCCTCTCTCGTAAATAACGAGCCCTCATTGGCGCACTCACGGGGAACAACGAAAATGGAGAGCAAAACGACTCTAACGGAGTTCCCTCCTCGGAACAATTTCCCGAGTCGTGCATTCTTGCTAACTTTCTACCCAGCTCTCGCTCCCATCGCTCGACACGTGTCGAGGGCATATTTTTGCACCTCGGGATAATGCTTATCGGCAGAGAGGAAATCCGGCCGGTCGTCGAAGAAATTCCCGAAGAATTCGCCCGGGCTGAATGAAGTTTTGTTCCTCACTTTTCTCGGCCTTCGGGGGATAAACGGGAGGATTGATCGCGCGCCGCGGAAATATGTTTCTGAATATTTCAGAGGCTCGGTTGCATAAGAGATTGCGATCGGGAACACGCGACCGGGTACACGGCTCGTGGGACACGAAGACTAGTGCTGTTTCGTGGAGCCCTCTATGTCTTCCGTTATTCCTAGACCTACCGAGTAGGGTGGAATTTCGAGAGAAGACGTCTTATGCCCTCTTCGTTTCTTTTTTAATTTAGAAAAATGTCCGAGGCAATTTTGGGAGGAGGCATTTCCTCTCGTCTATGCTCCATCTTTGATTTGAAAAATAAACGCAGAAAAATACGTTTAAGGGGAGATGGAGACCCGAAGATGCTACCACGAGGATGGGAGAGAAACCGAAGGCGTATCTCGTGCCGTGGGACACGCTTAGCCCTCTCGCTAGAGTTTTAAGCGGATCAAAAAGGGAGCACCGATCCAAAATATGTTTTCGAATATTTCGGGGGCTTAGTTGTATAAGAGAGCGGAATTTGTAGGCACGCGAGCGAACACGCCGGCTCCCGAAACTCTGGAGGACCGCGAGAGCTTCCCGGGGATTATCGGCTTGGCAAATTCCCGACGGGAATGTGGGACCCGGGACCTCGTAAATAATTTACACCGGACAGTCCCGAAGCACGACCTACGAAGATCTATGAATCGTCTTACAGCTTGCCTGGATCACACCGGGACCACTTGATCAGTGTCCGGCTTCGCCTTGGATCTCTGTACGCGCTAATTTGCGACCGGATGGCGAAGTCTCTACCGTCCTTCTCTATGACTATTCCGACATTCTCCAAATCATCAGCGAGTCCCGCCTAAACATTGTTTAGAAACGATCTAGCCATAATTAAAAAAAATTAATTTTTTGCAATGGATCTCCCCGGGCGATTATTCGCATCCGAATGCTTGAGTGATACTCGTGAGATAATTTTTCGTTCGCGCAATGGACTCCGGGGATGCTGTTTTCAATTTTTTTTCTATCGAGTTTCGAAGGTTCCGATACTTGGAAAAACCCCTCATAGCCGGTACCCGAGTTTCCCTCCTCGCCCGGACTTCGGCACTTTCCAGAGACATCATTCCCAAGGTATGTTAATGTGTCTCCACTCGAAAGATTGACATACGCTGCTGGCAATGGATCAGCGCGACGCAGCAAACCGGAAAACCTGGTTTCGCAACGGTGGGGTACTCGAACCTAAGCAGCCTACCGATTTAAGCCCAAGTGTAAAACCGAGTGAAATATAGCTGCTACCTCCCATTACTTATCTGAAATTATACAAGGTATGACCTAACCGAGGCCCGTACCGTTAGAGCCGAGAGCCGCGTGTTAAATGTTAATAACTGCCTCTTTTACATGTACACGAGGCCCGGGAGAGATAGCGAATGAGAGCACAACTTGTCGCTCGTCCCGACTCATTATAGGATCGCCGAGCTGGCTAACGTCCTCAAGTACGAGTAATAAAACAAGAAAGAAGTAAATGTCCAGAATTGCCGAAAAATCGAAAGATACCCTTTTATCGAGCACTGTGGAGGCAGAGGCGATTTTTTAATGATATTTCTTGGAATAATTCGTTAAATCAATTTTCAAATGATTTCTCGAGTACCTCTTCGGGTATCTCTTCAAGGTACTTACCAGGGGAGAGTAGAACGCTGAGCTGTCCATGCCGATGCTGGGATAGGGCCCCTGGTCGGTGGTGGAGGGCGTAGGGGTGGGATAGGAGGAGTAGGAGGTGGCAGTGGGTGCCAACCTAGGATAGGCCCCTAGGGCCAACCTGGCCGCGCTGTCATATTGACAGGAGCAGACCGTCTGGCCCGTCACGGGATCCGTCATCATGGGTCGGCCATTTTCGCAGCATCCGGGCCCGGGCCCCGAGGACCCACCCCCGACGGGCGTCGTGGCGCCCCCCGACGCCCCCGGCGCGGCCCCCGTCGTCGTGGTGGTCGTCGATGACGGCGACAGGGCGCCGGGGCTGAGGGCGCCTCCCGATGACATCACCGGCGACGTCGCCGTCGTCGGCTGGCCTCCGCTCACCAGAAGCTGCAACAAAAGAAACCTGCCATCAAGATCTATCTCTGGATAAATGATAAAAAGGATCACCCATTCATTGAAAATATTTCAATTTTTTATTTCATCGGAAAACTTTTTTTTTTTAATATGGATTCCCATTCGTTGAAAATATTAAAAAAGTCACCCCCTCGTCAGGGATTCTATTTTTTCTAGGGGAGACTTGGGTCGCTTCGGGATGGACCATTGCGATAGAGCACAGGAGCTCCGTTGAAAATCACTAATTAAATAAAGACTATTCGACATTTTAGGAATATCGGCTACGGATTTGACGGGTCGGTTCATATTTTATCTCCTGAATGAGCCCGCTCGCCTCTGCCTCTTGATGTCGAGCTTTCGGGCTCCCCAGCCTCCCGCGGCGGTAAATTAGTAGCCGGTAAGTAAGTGGGCTCCTTAGCAATTAATATCGTTAAGGAAGTGGAGGGAAGAGGCGTGCTCCTGGTTACTTTGGTTACCGGGAGACCCAAGATTTTGGGCTCTCCTCGGGAACTAAAGGACGGCGCCATTGATAACGACGCCTCTTGGCCTCGGGACTCTTCCTCTTCTCCGGGTCTCGGTTCGCCATTCGAGATGCCGGGAATCCTCACCTCCGGTCCAACCTCCGGGAACACGTACAATCCCCGGGGTACGTAAAAAGGACTTATTCTTGCGCGACTTTCTCCTCCTTGAATTCCTCTCTTGAGTTCCTTCAGGACTATTCTAACAATACTTTACAATGAATAAGGATATAAGAACACGTAATAAAAAATAAAGAATTAATTATTCCACTCGTTCTTCTGGAAAAGGGTCTTTTTTTTTTAACTTGGCAGCGAGGGGGATTAATTAATCCAATAATTATTGGTACTTGTTCCGGGGGGAATTCGGAGCGGAGGAAGTTGGACGCTTCTCCGAAAATGGCCTCATCACCTGTCGGAAGAATAGTTATGCCCGAATGTATGAATTTATTCGCCTAGGCAACCCGAGAGACGCATAACGCGGAAATAAACTAGACGCATAAATCCACGCGTAAACAGTGGAGGCAATTCGTAGCGAGCCGCGAGATAAATTGGGAGGCTGGGAAGATCAGAGCCAGGAATTCGGGATTTACCGGCGATTCGTTGTCGGATATGCCGGTGTAACCCTAGTGTGAAGGAAAGGCCGACATAAATAAACGCTAATATCCGTCGCGACGATATTAAATCCGTCTAATGATTTCCTCGCCGCTCGACTCGAGACCTCCAGAGAATCGAATCGCATTTCACGAGACTTTCACGCTTTGCCCGGAGGGAAAGAAAAGAACCTACACGCGTTAATTTATTCACGGAGTAAATTACTCCCATAATCGTGGCTAGTTTTCCGAAAGCAAATTTCGCTCCGCGTATTCCAGTTTCAATTTAACTTTCCATTCGGAGTAGGTGGATCCCCTGGTAGAAAAAAAAAAAATAATAAAAAATAAAAATGACTGTCACCTTGGGGCGGAGGTGTCGATACGTGCACGACAAAGTGCATTACCCACCGCCACCTACACACGCGCGGTCTATAAATAACGCGAAGGCACACGGTTGACAGAAGGGCGTCGTCGACGTCGTATAAACGCGCGACGCGTGCACGAGGGGACCCTAGCGTGCCAACGAGCACGTGAAAAACCGACCTCGAACGAGTACTCGAACGAGTCCTGTTGCGACCGAAGACAACGAGAAGATGGCCGCGCGGTCGATGCTTCACTTTCACCCCGATTATCAAATATATTCTACACGCTATGCGTGTACTTGGAACGCTCGGCATGTACGTATTCGATATACAAGACGAATCTCATGAAATTAAAAAAATGGGTGTCCGAGGGTGAAGACCCTCGGACAATCGAGCAAAGGGTTATAGAGATGAGTTTTACAAAGCCCACGCTCAACAAGAAATACCGAAATTTATCCCGACGAGTGATCGTTTTATTATCTTTTATCTTCACTTGGAGCAGCAAATATTCGCCGGTAAAATGGGATCTAAATTCCGACGCACCTGGGAATATTTTCTCGAGCCCAGGAACCCGACAGGATCGGAGGCCGCGGCGGCGTCGCTTATCAGACGTCCGTTTTGTCGCGGGAATCGAGTGTTCGCGCGCGCCGTGATAAGGGGAAGGAAAACGCAAGAAAACAGCAGCGAAATACGTAAATGCGGGGCCTAATCAGCGGAGCCGATAATTCGCAGGCGCATTATGCATACAGGTTGCGCGTTTACGGGTACACCCGATGCCGCTTATCTCCCGGTCGGTGCAACGCGGTGCATGCGGCGCCGCTTTCCGGGAATTCAAATTAAAGAGGGAATTAGAATAAAACCGGAGATACCGTTCCAAAGGAGGGGCGTCGAAAATGGCGCCTATCGGCGCGCGCGATCCAATCGACCCCCGTGAGGATGCAACTGCAACTGCAACTGCAGTTGCATCCTCGGATAAAACGCGGGCGTAACTTTAAAGGGCAACCGGTTTCCGCGGCGGCCGCGTGCGTTTCGTCTGCGTGCACTCGTGTGCAGCATATACCTGTATTCGTTCTCGTCGAATTGCCCTCGTATGCACCGATTCGCGATTCCGCGTTAAGTCGGCGTCGAAACCCCATCGGCACCGACACTTGTTAGGTCGATCAATGGCGCCGCGCTTACTGGCTAATGTCGCAATGTGTACCTCGTCATTTTTAAGAGGACAGCGGTAATGGCCAGCGAGACGTTATCTGGACTTAACACGTGTACGGAGTTGCCGCAATTACTGCATGCACCGGCCGTAAGTGACACTGCACGGTGGAGGCACTCCTAGGATCGAAGGGGCGATAGCGCGGCCACCATTTTGTGGCACTTCGAGATTTGCTCGATTTATCGACGCCCTGATCGATTTCTGTCCTCCTCGTCCGAGTTTTCGACGCACGGAGCGCGTGCTTTCTCGCGTTAATGGGCGCTAATGGTCGGTATTGACCATTAGCGGTCATTAACGGCCGGTGGGACGATTCGGAGGAGTGGGGCCGATCAAGGGGTTCTTCGACAGGTGAACGATTCCCCCATAAGTGGAATAATTAGCCAAATGGCCGCGGTAATGAGCCAGCGAGGTGCCAAGACGCCGCGATTTCGCGGGAAACCCGGGAGGGCTCTAATCGCGGGTCTTCATTAAGGCGCGCGCACTTACTCGCGCGTATGGCCAGATATGCAAATAATTATCCGAGCACTTAGGCCACGGGCCGCGACTTCGGGACCGACGGGAATGGCACACCACGAAGACTGTAAATTATCCCCCGGTGTCGCCACTGTCGGCGTATGTGCAAAAACGAGCGGAATAATTACCCGATGTCACTCGACGACGGACGGAGCCGACTTGGCCTTGCCCTTTTCAAACGAAATTAGTGCCATACGGGGAACCTAAAAATCTCTTCCGGCCCTTTATTCGTTTCTACAGTTTTTTCTTATTTACCCCTTATCAATCGAGATATCGACCCGGAATATTCGGCAAAAATTGCATTTCATAAATACCACCGTATCCAAAAGTGGGGATTTCTTCCGGCATCGGGAAAGGTTAGGTCGCCGCCGTTTTCATGCCTCTTTTCAAAAATTTCTCCCGTTTTTACGGAAATTCTCGAGATTGTCACGATAATGGAGGAAATCGCAGACTATCTGAACGACTCTCGACTTCTTCGCGAGCGGCTGCTAATTACGCTCGGCAGTTTTGATAAATGGCGCGGCCGAGCCTTAGGAAAGGACGGAACAGCCGATCAAGATCGACGGACGGGGAAAAACAAATATGTATAATTAGCGGGAGCGTTCGCTCGTTAAAATCGTTGCGACGTCCGAAGTATGCTCCGGCTTGGGGAATTTGTCCCCCGAAACGCAATTACGGTATCCGGATCGGGTTCGCCCGATTTTCGCTAATTAATTTCCCGGTCACTTATTACTGTACTCCGGTTCGAAATAAATCTGTATTAATTGAGAAAAAAATTTAATTACTCCATCCATGTGCATTTCGACCGCTGCTTTTCCTGTCCAAGACCATGTCGAGATAATCGCCAGGTTATGTAGTCGAGATAATAACGATACGGCAATTTTTTTTATTAATTTCATCGCGATGACGTTACGACGACTCGACGCGTTTCCTTGGCGAGTCGGCACGTTCTCGATTTTCCAAGGTGTAGATTAACTTTTCAACGACTTTGGCAAGGTTTCGCCGCTTTCCGTTAACGGGGCCGGTTAACGGCGGCCGTAACTTTCTCCCGACGTAGTCGTAAGTCCCGACCTGGAGGGATACTCTTATGAGCCCTATCCACGGAACGGTAACTATTATCAAGAGTACTCTGTTTAATTATTACTACGCGCGGAGGACTTAACGACCCGCGAGAACGCATTTGCATCGCCGCGTAGTGGCGTCAGCCGCGTTGATGCCCACGTGGGAGTTAATCAGCAATAAGGTTGAAGGTTGACGATAGAAATCGCGATTTAGTAACGCGAAACGTAACGTCCGCCATATATCGCGGCACGCGATGAAGAGAGTCGAGGCGATTCGCGATTACCGGACCCAGCGGAAACCATTTCGCGACGGCCGCCATCTTGGCCGCACGGACGAGACGCAATTCCCATCGACCGTCGCGAATTACCATCGGCATCGACAAATCTAATTAGCGTATTTACTTCGCTCCCTCGCAACGAGGATAATAATCGTTTAATCATCCCGAGGAGCCGCTTCCAAGGACTTCTACAGCCTTTTGAATCCTCGAGGTGGAGACGCCGGCCGCTCCGCTACGGTAAATCGGTAAAAAATCGAACCATGGGAGTTTATATCCCGATTTCGGACTCGTTTCCAGCAAATACCCCTTTCCCAGGGTGTCTTCGACCCCCCACCTCCCGGGACTACTTAAACTCGCATGTCAACATCGAGCTAAGGGCGTCATTTGCTAAATCACCGTTTAACGGTGGCAGTGCTCGCAGATTGGCCGTTAAAGCCTACCTGCAATTATAATCGTGAATTATAACTAGGGCCAGAGCACGAGGGGACGATTATCCCGCGGTTGCGCAGTTGCGTACGCCGGGTGCAACGAGTGTAGAAATTACGAGCAATACAATAAATGGTCCCAGGCCCCGCAAATAGTGCCCGGTATGGTGCACATACTTGAGACGTACTCTCCTTATTACCGTCGATATCGCTATTTAAAATGTCGGGGGAAAAAAGGGAAGCAGGACCTTCTCCCTCGGCCTTCTCTCACGAGTGGATGGCGGCCGCTTCTGGCGCGCCCTTTATCCATATTTTTTCCCCATTTATTTTTTCTACTTTGTCTCCCTTGTCTACTGTCTAGGGCATCTTCTTTCTCTCACTTTGGCGCGAATGCGGGCTCGGGTCTGCTCGTAGCATTCCCCTATTCCAGGTGCACTGCAACTCCGCGAGCCTTAGGTACTCTCCGAAGTTGATAGTGTCCCTCTTTTTCATTTTTTTTCCCCGTTGCCCGGCGCGGCCTTTTTCCTTTTCTTCGTCCTTTATGTAACAGTAGTCAACGCCTGCTCTCTGGTTTCCGCGCTTCTCGAAGCCTCCGCTTTGTTAGGCCCGTCAGACGCTAACCCGGCTTTTTGGTGACGAAGGTCTTCGCAGGCGTGATGACCCTTTTGCTTCTGCTCAGGTGGAAATTAGGTCCTCCGATTAGAGAGCCTCTCGCCGAGGTGTCGGAAAGGAGTCGCAGGAGAAATAGAAAAAAAGAAGATAGACCTCGGGAGAGCAGAATTCGGAATTCGTCGCGCCTACACCTTGCGCTCCCGTCCGGCATCCAAAACTGGACGATACAAATTCGGTATCCAAATTTTTGTCACTGTTCTCATTCCCCATGGAGGTGACCTATGTCAATTGACTTCCAATTCCCGGTGGCCCTCCTTCGGTCGCGACTAATCAACGTCTCTAATTGTCTCTGCGAGTTGCAGTACTTGCACTGCGCCAATCCCGTCCCATGCAGTAGTGACGTCACTCATTGATCCCTTTAAAGAACACCGGACATTGACGAATGACGTCGATCTGCGACTGGCGTATGGCGGGCTTAATCGTTACCTGGGCACGTGCGATACGGATGAACCGCGAGTCACAATTTACAATTCAATATTAAAATTGAATAATTATCCCTGGCAGGCGAAGACGCATCTCTACGCGAGATGAGCAAAAATCGCGGGAGTCCGTTCCGTCAGACCGAGGTATTATTTACTCGGTAATTAGCGGCTAATTGCGCGGGGAATTTATCCAGGGCGACGAGGCACGTTGAGTAAGAGCGCGCCAGTTCGATAAATTACCCCCGACGTCGGGACATTTGTCAAGGGAAATCGGAAATGGCGGACATTTGAAATTGGCTGTAGAAACACGACGTAGGCTCGTATGGCGACAGAGCTAGCTGGCTGTAGAGACGAAATTTCGTGCCAACTTCTTGGACGTATGGACTTCGCAGAGACCGTCGTTACTGACCGAGTGGAAGAGATCCGAGGACAAGGGAATCGCCGATGCAAAGATCGACTTATTGTCCGATATGCAAAACCGCAATCGAGGTGCCGACACCCGGTGACGGTGCAACTGTGTAACGGTGCAACAAAGTTGCGCATCGCTAAGTGCCAATTAAGTCGACACCTCGTTTTCCCCCGCATAATGGCACTAGTCGGTAATCCCGAACGCCGGACACAATCCGCGGTTCAAGCGGCGAGCTCGATCTGAATTGAAAATTAAAGGGTTCTCGCTTTGTTGAATGCACATTGTACGCACCAGGCGGTCCCTCCAGAAATTGCCGGCGAATCGACTGTACCGAGCCATTAGTCGGGGCGAGGTAAACTCGAATCGGATAACTCGGTTGCGATTCATCGCCCATGGAAGCTCGCAAAGTGGCCAGGTAGCATCGCAATCATAATCTCCCCGCCAGTTGCGATAATTTTATCCCACAAAGGCTGCCGATCTGACCTTTAAGCCGGTACACGAGAGAGTCACGTCGATTTAATAACGCGACCCCGTGAAATGAAAGTCGCGTGATTGGCCAACGCAAACGTCACTCGCGTCTCGGTTTTCTCTCGCGGCATGACTTCGCGTCTGCATACTCCATTTGAGCCCGTCAGTTCGTCGGGAACGATATCCGCAATTTTAATCCCACCCACCGGTCCCAATTTCGCGGATAACTCGAACGGTCGCTCGAGCGATTCAAATTTTCCCGCCAGGCGCGCGGGTACTGCGCGAGTCACGACGTCATCTCCCGACGTTACACCCTAGCGACTTAAAAAAATCGAGACGTCTCAAATAAAGTCTCTACGCAGCCATCCTCACACGTAATCGGTATGACCAGTTCTCACGCTGGTACGTGCACGTAAAGTCCGCACTCTAATGAAATAATTCAACGGGAAACAGCGTATTTAAACGCACGACCTCGGGTCTACTTAACCAACTATTTTCGTTCCCCGTTTTATCGCGTCTTACAGCGTCGGCAACGAGGTGAGTATATCCAGTTAATTATCTGATTAACGGAATGTGCTGCGCAGAGCGGTAAAGGTCGCGTGACAATAAGTAAGGGACAATCCTATCTCGATCGGCCTGGAACTCGAGTGACTCTAATAAAGCCACGAAAAAAGTAAATATTCATATCTCGGCGTGCCCCTCAAAGTAATTGGCCAATTTGAGGCAAGACCTCGAGATCCCTCAAGCCGTGACTACAAAAACGCCCGATCGGCGAGAATTAATTCGAGCCCGCGGATGCGTAATTACCCACTCATTACTCCCAGTACAACTTTGTCGGCCCGATTCGTTCTCGGTTTCAATTATAATCGCAACCTCCCCCCATTAAGTGTGGGTAACGAACGCGGCGAGGTGATGTTTCTACAAAAGGCGTTGCGGACATAACCCGTTCCCCAAAGGTGCGAGTTCGCTTTGAACAATTCGCCGCGCAGGATCGGTGTCAATCCCGAGGTGTCGGGAAACGGGGGCGTTTGGGTGTAGAAACAGCGGTGCATTCAATCCGCATTAAGTCCTGCCCGAGTGCATTGCCGCGCGCGCGCGCTCACCGACGGCCGTCGCTCCGGGAGCCCAGACTCTATAAGGCAGGTGCATGCGGGTCGTTTGTTTCGCCGGGTCTCTATCCACGGGACGCAAAACATGCCGGGGAATTTCTATCGGTCGACGTCGGAGTATCTCGCCGGCCCAATTAACCCGAAGTGACGCCGCAACGACAGAGCCGATTTCAGTCTCCATTAGTCGCGCGAACAGCTGATCATCCGCGACCCCCGCTGTTCCACTGACCAACTACGCGAGTCGTTCCATCCCTCGCAAAAAGTCCCAAGAAATCGAGTCCGGGGAAAAAAAAAGACCCACTGACGAGTTTCATGGATCCTTAAAACGAAATCGCAGGGTTGTCATATTTTTCTCAAGTCGTTTGATCTCTTGATCGTCGCTCTGGACGCGGACTAAGGTTAAGGGTCGTTTCCACGGAAGATGAGAGGTCACGAGGCGACGATGGGGTGGCGAGTTTAATTTCTGCTTTTGGTCTATGACTAGAAACAATTGACTATCAAATTATGGGTTCAGTTTGTGGCTACGTGTCTCGGATGTGGCGATGGGCAAAATGGGCCTTGCCCGTGCCCAGTTCCGACCGCGTTCGATGGGTCGAGGTCGATTTCGCCCATCGGTATCGATCGATTCGCGCGAGTGTTCCACCTGTCTTTCCTTACCTGCGAGGCCGACGGATAGGTGTATCCGAACTGCGCGTACGCCGACATGTCTCCCCAGAGCTCCGCCGAAAAGGCTGCCAGAGTCCCCGCGAAAACGCACAACGGTCGCACCTATCACCCACTGCACTGTCACAGGAGCCCTAGGAGCAGGCGCGCCCACAAGTCTGGGAAGACGAGCAGGAGCCCCCCAGGGTGTGTCTTCCCAAGGATATGTCCCTCGCCATCAGGGCGACCAGCGTCCCAGGACGGACCGACCCTCCTCGCCGGGCATCTTCGCGCACTCCTTCTCCCTGGGAACCAGTTCCTCCAAGATCCGTCCAAACCGACGGCACTCCACCAGGACCTCCCAGCCGCCTCCAGCGACCTGGTCCACGCGATCCCTCTCGAGCCAAAGGAACCACCTGGCAGCACCAGTTGTCCAGGTCACTCCGTTCCTTTTTCCTCGACTTTCCTTCCGGCAGCCAGGGTTCTAGGCATCCTCCGACGCGAGAGTCAGACTCAGCCTGGTCTTTTCGGTCCCACCTGATGGAACCAGGAGTCGATCCCGAATCCGAAGAGACCCACCTGGTTGGTCCCTGGGTTAACTATGGTGCGGAAACGCGGATCGCAGGTCTCGCAGGTGCGTTTCGGGTGACGGGCCGAGTCGTGGGACGGACTTCCGCAGACGGAGCGCGCGTTTCGGCCGGATTAGTCGTGGAGTCGTGGAGTCGTGGAGTGTGTACGGTCCGTCCCCTGCTCTCAGGGCTCTCCAGTCTGCGACTGACTTCGCTCCACTCACACCACTTCAGCGACCGCCACTCCGCGTCGACTCGGCCCCCCCTCTGGCGAGCGACGCGGAAAACATTCCGCGTCCCCCCCACTACCATCGGTAGCCGTGGTTACCGACAGCCAGCCAATCGGCGCTCGCGAGAAGGGTCATGCCGCTGCGCCAAGGGGCGGCCAAACCGGCAACTATTGGCCGCTTTTCGAACCAGAGGGTGTCCCGACGACCCGGCACTTCCCTCGGAACCCCAAATCCCCTCCCCGATGGAACCCGACGGGAGAAGCAGCGTGGAACGAGTCCGTTCCCCACCGCCCGTGGCGCCGCCGACGGCGCCCGCGCCAACTACCGCCACGCGAGTGTTTACGCGCCCAGAAGAACTCGGCGCGGGAACGACCCGGCTTTTTTCTCCGTTTCAAATTCTTTCGACGAACCTCCTCTACCGATCTTGCTTCTTTTACAATTAAAAGCGATCGGGACATCCGACCGAGTATTTATGCGCCCAGGTGATCCGACGGTGCCCACTTCTCTGTTTGAAATTCGCATTTTCATTAAATTCGAATTTCTTTTTTTTTAAATCACAACACGGGGCTTTATCCTCGCTTTTTATATCGGCATTGGGGTACCATTAAAAGGGGAAAATTCCATTTCCGATAAGGAGGAAGTAGGTCTTAATTCGTATTTCTTGGATTTCAGATTCAGGACACGCTTCGTAATCGGTAAGAATGCCCTCCAGGTCCACGAGATGGCGGTGATGTATATGACATATTTTTTACCGTTCATCTGTCCATTCGTTCGTTTATCTAGCTTCGATCTGTAAGGTAATGATGTATGACCATGTTTCCAGCGAGAGACAGCCGTTTAGTTCGGTCTGGCTACTTCTGCGGGGCCATATTTTTTATGGAAAATTGCTCGGGGGCCGGAGGAAATGCGAAAACGATTTATTTGTCGGCGGGAGGCCCGCCGTTCTACGGAAGACCCACTCAGTGACAATGTCTATCTCCTGGTCGGAGACCCTGTGATTAACGAGCGCCGGCCGCAGAATTTAGCGGGGCGTTCCACCGCCATTCGGAATAATTTCACGGTTTATTAGCCCTTGTTTGAGTGGGGTAACAAAGGCCACGGAGGAACTCTCGCGCCAGTTGGCCACCCTGGATCAGGGCTACCCTTGGCGCACCATTGCCCTACTGGGGACATTTCGTAGACGGAACTTCGACGGTCAATTTGCTCCGAGTACCCTCCACCGGGAACACTTCCACTTCCCAGAAAACCCTAAAATCGAACCGTCGATAATCTCCACTCGAGCATTCCTCTCGTCACCCGAGTTGTCTCGCAAAAGTTGTCTTAAAAACTGTATCGGTTAATTATAAGTTCAAGTAAATATGCTTCGCGTCGCTGATACCGCAGCACGCCTTTTCCATGTCATGATTTAACCGTCGGTGACGTAAATACTATACTCAATTCACTAGGGTTTAATGTCTGATTTTCTGCAATTTCAGGTTTGCACATCTGAAATTGGATGAAATTTGTAATTCTTAATGACGTGGCAGTGATTTTAAAGGAGTCGAATCTTAAATCGGAATATTGGAATTTTCTACCGTGAAAATAGTTACATAAAATGTGTTGAATAATTGTAGATTAAACGTGGCGTGTAGTAGGCGTTGTTTTGTAATAGCTGTTGGGTTCGGAAAGGTAGGATAGAAAGACTACGATTTGTCAGGCAATTTTCCGGGCCTTGCGTGAATCGGGTCCGCAATTTCGGGGGGCATTGCGAGCGAATGGGCCCCACCGAAACCAGGGGCCCCCCATGGGTCCAGTGTCCCTAATAGGATTATCCGGCAGGTCGGTAAATACGGTTCCTTCCGGACGAGGGTCCGGCGGACCTCCGGGATGATCTACCTGTCCAGACCTTGGCAGTAACCATCGGAATGGATACGGCTCTGCCATGATTTACTGTCGAAGGTCTGGGCTGGTGACCTGCCAATTTATGCCGTGCAAACAGCCCTCCATTATGATACTCCTTGGAAGCCATCGTTTGCTTAGGTAAGACTCGCTTCTGGCCCGAAACGAGACCGATGACTTTTACATCTGTATTGAACACCTGTCGCACGAGTATTCGACGTTTTACAGCCAGCCCCCTCAAAACACTAAGCCACTGTCAATGGTTTCGCGAGATTCAAACAGCGGTGTAAATAATGGTAAACGCCAGTCACCCGAAAATCCGCACTTGATCCTGAGAGCGAAATTGTCCTGCTCACTTCTGACGAATTTACAATTTTTTCTTATCGACCCGGCAGGCGTGGGTGATCTCGGGAATCCTATTCCTGTAAATAAACTCTCTTTCGGAGTTTCTGCAAATTTCGTTCGAAGACTCGCGTCGGGCCACCGCGGATAATCTCGAGACAGCTGAGACATCGGTCGGTTGCGAGGGAGCCGTTAATTTCGAGATTAGGATTGGTAGATCTCCTTGGGTCGGTCCGAAATGAATTTTCACGGGGCCTTAAGTACTCGAAGAATGTTTACAGCCATTAGCTCCGGGTACTGATAACCGACGAGATTGAGGAGCCGCCTTTAGGCAGTTACTCGGGTTTATCTGGCCCGGCAGCTGCCTACTTGTTAGACGCCCAAGTCAGCCTCGTCCCGTTCTCTTGACCGATGTTCCAGATCCCAGAGGTTTATAACGAAGCGAAATTTTTTGGAACAATGGCGGACGTTTGGGATATTTTTAAGACACTGGCCGAGTCTTACGTCGGTCCGGAGACGAGGTGAGAAATTTTCCAGGCGGCCATCGAGTTGTTCACGGAGGTCTCATCTTCCATGGGCGTTCCGGATCGCTCCCGGGTTAGGACAGTTTTACGAGTCGGGGTCCGAAATTTTTTATGCCCTGGCTGGCCAAGGAATCCCCGGATTTTGTAGCCTAAAAGGTGGCGGCTCTCGTGGGGTTGAAAGGGGACCAGGGCGCGCTATAAAAGAGCGGCTAATCCGCACTGTAAAACGGCGCGATATTCACGCCGAGGGGGCATAAAACAAAAGATCCCGGGTTTCGGGGGAGGCAAGGACGAGGGAGACTAATAAGGGAGGTCCTGGCGCCTTCTCAGGACTCGGACAACCGTGGACCACTGCGGACCACTTTGGGCAGCGGGAGTTTTATTGGGGGCTCCGGCCTTCGTCTTTTTCCCCCGCGGCTCGAATTCTCCAAAGCTGGCCAACGTGTCGTCGTAAAAGGAGGACGGACCGAAGCATTCGATGGAAAAAGGGAAGAAACGAGACTGACGAAAAATTTAAGAAAAGAATTAAAAAAAAATAAATGAGTCTCCACCGGGATTCGATCCTACCTCCGCGGAGGTGCAGCGGCGCGACGACGTCACCTGTGAATCTCTCGCGGTAACGTTAATTAATCTGAGTTTTCTCTCTTATTTCGCATTTACCACTCTTCTGGTATCTCTAGACAAAGTCAGGTGTGGCCTAAATCGCCTGGCAAAAATTGCGCCAGTGTTCGCTACGGGAATCAGAAATGTCAAATTCTGGCGTAAGTCGGCGGTCGTTGCACAATCGGGCTCGACTTTTCCCTGAAATGGCGGGCATCGATTCGTTATTCGGTCGAGTGTCGTGCACTTGGCGTGACGGTAGAGCCGGTTCAAGTTGGCATCCTGCAAGCCCCGGTGTCGGTAATGCCGGCGCTGTTCTGTCTCGTCGGCTAATTGCTCCGACCATTTCATAATAGCGTGCGTCCCGTTACACGGATACGTACGGATACGTACTATCGCGCGATACACGCGCGTAGGTACATAACGTAAAATGGGTGTCCCTCTGTATTCTACGTGCTCTTTATTCCACAGCTCGTTTCGCCCCCGCACGATAGGTGCCCTGCTATTATAATCCTTTGTACATAACGAGAGGCACCGTGTAATCGGAAAACTTTCCATTTCCAAGTGAATAAGAATTGCCCAGATATCGAGTTTCTCTAAAATCCCCACAACTTCACGAAAGAAACGCTTTTTTCGCGCTCTAAGCGAAACTGAAGTAAATTATTATTTAATCCCGCAATTATAGTTAGTACCCATCAGGCTTCTCCCAATTACCCGCGGCATACAATGTGCTCCTTTCCTCCCCCTCGCTACCTATCAGCAATCAGGTGCAATACACGGGGCATCGCATGATTGGCATGCCGCTTTCGTTACGTGCCCACGGAAAATGAATAGGTAATTATAACGCATTTATAATGCAAGGAGACAAGGCCTCGTATCGCGAGTGGCAACGGACGGACTCGAGCTGGAGTTCGGGTCCGCCGGCGATCTCGCCTGTGCAGGTTTAATTAATTGAAATCACCGCGAAAGAGTGCAGACCCCCGGAATCGGGCGATGATTAATGCCTGGTTTTCGAGTTATCTCGCTCCCGGCGCATTGGGAAAATTAATTCGAGTTGGGCAGAGTGTCGAATCGATCATCTACTCGGGTCGGGTGACGATTAATTCGGGGGAAATCGATTAATCATGGGCCCCATTAACGGGCGATAAATCGGCGCGCTGGATTGTAATTGCTGTTAATAGAGGGACGTTCGATTAGGCCGATCGGGCGATTATGGTTCTGCACGAGTGCCCGTACTCGCGCATTAATCTTGCAGGGCGTATTAGCGGTTAAGTGTCGCTGCTTATTAATCTGGGATTAAAACCGCGACGCGGACCTCGCATGCTCTCGGCGGCCATTTCTTTGTGCAGGCCAGCCGAACCCGGCCACGATCCCTCGAGAGTACGTGATCTTAATCGCGGGACAATCGCCGATCGATGCGTGATCGATCGGAAAGCCTCGCCGAGGTCTGGGCCTGTTTCGATCGCGTGAGAACGCCCGGCCGATATTAAAACGCGCCGTTAATATGCCATAAACATGCCGGCACCTTCGTGCCCTCGCGGGAAAAGGGATTTGTTCGGGATACTTTCAGTCGACATGGGAGCAGCTGATATGGACAATCAGGCTCT